GTGGTCTCAGTGGTTTTGTGGGTCATGTGGTCTTGTGGTCTCTGTGGTCTTGTGGGTCTTGTGGGTCATGTGGTCTCATTGGTCTTGTGGGTCATGTGGTCTCAGTGGTCTTGTGGGTCTTGTGGTCATGTGGTCTCAGTGGTCTTGTGGGTCTTGTGGGTCATGTGGGTCATGTGGTCTCATTGGTCTTGTGGGTCATGTGGTCTCAGTGGTCTTGTGGGTCTTGTGGTCTCAGTGGTCTTGTGGGTCTTGTGGTCTCAGGTGGACCCTGTGGCCCCGTCAGAAGAGGCTGCGGCCTGCCCCGTCCCGGATCCAGATCCAGTCCCGGTTCCAGACCCCGTCCTGGTTCCAGTCCTGGTTCCAGACCCAGATCCAGACCCAGATCCAGACTCCGCCCCCCGTGGGGCCACGCCCCCCCCAGAGGAGGAGGAGGAGGAAGAGGAGGAGGAGTGTGTCAGCGCCCTGCGGCTGGTCGGAGGTTAGGTCGGGGCTAGGGTTAGGGGGGTTAGGCCTATGGGGGTTAGGTTTAGGGGTGTGGGGGGGGGGGTTAGGGGGGTTAGGTTTAGGGGGGTTAGGCCAAGGGGGGTTAGGGTTAGGAGCGTTAGGGGCATTAGGGTTAGAGGGGTTAGGGTTAGGTTTAAGGGGGTTAAGCCTAGGGGGGGTTAGGGTTTGGTTTAGGGCGGGTTAGAGGGGTTATGGCTAGGGGCGTTAGGGTTAGGGGGTTAGGTTTAGGGTTAGGGGGGTTAGGTCTAGGGGGGTTAGGGTTTGGTTTATGGAGATTAGGTTTAGGGTTAGGGGGGTTAGGTTTAGGGTTAGGGTTAGGTGGGTTAGGGGGTTAGGTTTAGGCACCTGTGAGCATCTGACACCTGCTTCTGTTTCAGACTACGGCTGTGAAGGAGAGGAGGAGGAGCTATTTTAGCCCCGCCCCCTAAACCAGGAGGAGCTTTTAGCCCCGCCCCCTCCGCCAGGAGGAGGGGTTATTCCAGCCCCGCCCCCTTAGGAGGAGGGGTTATTCTAGCCCCGCCCCTAAACCAGCAGGAGCTCTTTTAGCCCCGCCCCCTAAACCAGGAGCTCTTTTAGCCCCGCCCCCTTAGCCCGGAGGGGTTATTCTAGCCCCACCCCCTGAAGTGGGACCGTCCAGGATGAACATTTTTACTGTTGTAGTTTTCCCTGTGGTTTTAATGTGTGTATTTTCTGTGTGTATTTTCTGTGTGTATTTTCTGTGTGTATTTCTGTGTGTATTTTCTGTGTGTATTTTCTGTGTGTCTGATGTAAACAATAATGAAAACACAAACATTCCTGCATAATAAACACAGAACCGGTTCTGCTGCTGGTCTTCAGACCAGGACCGGAACCGGGTCCAGATCCGGGTCAGAACTGGTTTATTCACAGCTCCAAAGCATCAGCAGGACTCCGGGCTAAGCTTATAACTCGACATTATTTATTTGCAGGCCTGACACGGGTTAGAGGAAATAGCCGTCAGGAAGGAGGTCTCAAACTGTTTCATTTATAGGATATTTTTGTTTACGTTGTATTAGTATTTTTATTATTATTGACAAGGTTTCCAGCAGCCAAAGCCACCAAAGAAATTATAGCCTTCTAGCCCCGGTCCAGGACCCGGTCTGGGACTGGTGCGGGTCCCGGTCTGGGACTGGTGCGGGACCTGGTCTGGGACTGGTGCGGGTCCTGGTCTGGGACCTGGTCTGGGACCTGGTGCGGGTCCTGGTCTGGGACCTGGTCC